TGATCACCTTAGCCTCTGAAGACTTGATCTACTACAGCCTACGACCTACGACCTACGACCACGACCCCAGTGTACTGTTTAAACGTCAATCCCCAACTTCTGTTAGCAGACCCTACTGTCGGATAGCTGACCGTAACACCCCTAACCTTGTCCTAGGTATCTCAGATTGGGACTGTTGTGTGAAACCTGTTGTGGAAGGCTAGCAGGATTCGCCTGCCCTGCTATGATCTGCACCTGCCGTTTGGGGCAAAAGGGTGAATACATAACGCAGGAAGGCCGGATCTCGTCGTCCTAACGACGCTAGAAACATTGGAATAGAAAACACGGAGCAGCACCACCCAAGGCTGTCTTCGGGCCTAGCGATGATTCTTGCCACCTGCCTTGTGTACTGGCTCACTGAGCTAGACTGCAGGGGTAAGGGGGGTCAAAAATACCGAAACGGGTTGAATTTGTGACTAACGTTCGGAATCATTATATGGGCTCAAGCCAAGGAGTCTTTCATTCTGTTGTTGGTATGAGTAAGGTATAACTAACATGTTTTCAAAGCTGCTGCTAAGCACTAGCACGACGCGAGGGTACCAACGCTTGACTAAAGAACGCAGCCTGTAGTCGTCACAGTAAATCCAAGGAAACCTGGGTAGCATCTGGATCATTTGTCGCAACGAAGCCGAACTTGAAAAAGTCAGCGATAACGTGAAAAAGAGCCTCTCTTCTGGAACACGAGTGCTATGTAACGAGCTCTACTACATAAACGTTGACGATATGAGTCGGACTGAGGTACTGGATGGCAATGAAAACACGAGGGTTGAAACGATGGAGACGCCCATTTGAGATGGCGAAGCAACAGTTAGTAAAGTTTACGTCCGCCGGACAGCTGGCCATCCGTCGGCGACAGATAAGCGCACGATGGTTCCCAGATTTGTAACTGGGTGGATGCGGTGGGTTGTACGCTGCTTGTCTCCATGCCGTGCTACCTACTACTTATACCCGATATCTCTATCCTGCGGCCCGACCTGCCGCCCTTCCTTCATCTGAGAACCTAGCTGGCAAGTATTTCGATCGAGAAGCTCATAAACTCCGAGTTACAGGGCGCGGATTCCAGCTGCTGATGATATGACCTAGCGCGACCCAGCTCGCCGCTACCTCGGTCTTTTTACGACTGGCATGCTGGTCTGGTTCGCGAGACCACTGCTGATCTAGAATATGTTGTCTACTGGCTTGGTGGATGTTCTGCGGAGCATCAATGAATCCGTAGTGATACTCGCCTAACACTCACCTGGTGAGAAGTCCCGACGCTTTCTTCTTCAACATGCGGAAAGCCATCTCTACCTTCCTCGTTGCGTTCAACTTCCCACATGTCTTTAGCGTGTCAACTCCTTCCGGACGCGGCCTTCTCGCCTCTTATGATAAGTGACCGCTGACGTACTGGGTCTCTATGACTAAAGGAAGCGACTGGCCATGCTCGTCGTCGCAAGTAAAAGACATTGAGAAGTCAATTGAGCACGCGAAGATCTTGGCAAACGGAGCTATGGTAGCGCTGGATAATACTGGGACTTCATCGAAGGCCTATGTGAGATGGTTTCGCAGTACTTAGTTGCTGCGGCGTTATAGTGGCCTTTAGTGTAGTCCTTCTGTTCTAAGTGAGTACCTATTGTTCACATGATCTTAAAATTTGAATGACTCGTTATAAGCTACCCAGTATCAGCGTGGAACGGTCGATCGCTATCCTTCGCTATCCTTGCAATCAGATTCGGTACTTGGTCACGAGTGGAACTCTTCGTTGCTAGCAAGCTGAATCTCGTCCTATGCGCGGAATCTGCACGTAGTGTTACATTACAGGTTTTCCTAGACTCGAAAGACCACGAGCTATATTTGTGCCTGTCCTGGAGATTAACAGAACCGATCTTGATATTCTTTTTGTTGAAGACACGGAGCTTCTTGACAACGACGGCGCTACCCAGATGGATGCTGGCGGATAGGGGAAAGCAATGCTAGTAACGCTACTAGCACTATCTATGGTTAGGTCAATAACTCCAGAAATCAAGCTTGGCGTAAAGTCGAATACAGCATGCTGCGGCGTTGCTCGACGGACTGCGCTTTGCTTGAAGTGGGCAGCAACAATCTTTAATCTCGCCCAAACCTAATGGTAATGTCGAATTAGCTGACTGTAACACATTGTTGGGACAGCCAGAGATGGATTGAGTCACTTTGTCAACTGGCTAGGTGAGTTTTTTTTGGGGGTTTTTTTTTTTTGTTTTTCTTTTCGTTCTTTCTTTCTTTCTTTTTTTCTTTAGTTCCCCCCGGGCCTTGCGAGCAGCACCGCTTACGCTACAGCCAACTCAAGTCCAACAATGGCCTGAAATATTGGAACATCGAGGTCGAAGGTACGAAGTGTACACTAGAGAGAGCATTTGACGTCAGAGGACGTGTAGAAAAGGTGCAAGGATATGTGATATCGAGGGGAAAGGTCTGTGACGACGTTAGGTGATTGCATGCTCGTCAAGTGGAGAGAATGCAGAAGGGTGGCAGGGGTTGAGGTGGGCGGCACATAGTAAAGGAAAGGAATGAGGTGAAGCGGAAATTTTCGCCACGGCCGAGACCGAGTATGCAGTAACATGTCCAGCCATGTCAAGATCAATCTATTCTAATAAAATGTCCTGTCACAGCCGCCTAATACCTAAGTGGGTCGGCTTACTATTATCCTTGTGTGCGGCTTGTCGCATCAGCCTCTTGAGTCCTTCCGTAGTCATAGAAGCAGTGAAAATGCTGCGTCTTCCAAATTCGGCCCCTTGTTGCTACCCAGCTTCTGTATCGTTAGCCTGTCGTGATACTGCGCTTAGCTCCGTTCGCAGGTCGAGTAACATGGCTATACCAGGAGTCTGCCAGTTGATCGGCTACGCCGATGCCGGATCCACTTTCGGCTTCTTATGTGTCCGTGGCAGAGTCGCCGACGGCTGAGTACGGTTTGAAAAGTTCCTCGGATCGTTATTATGAATCGACAACTGGGCAAGAAAAGCTTATAAAACCCAACGATTCGCAGTTATCTATACCGTTCCATTCCGCATCTGCTTATTTTTTTACACTGGTGTCCCCTTGAACAGGATGAGGCTTTTGTATTTCCTCTCGTCCTGCATGGCCGTAGCTGGCCTTGCCGTACCAAACCCCGACAATGCTATAACAGTCCGTTCACCAGGCGACGTGGCAACAACAGGCAGCGTTGTCTACGACAAGGACGGAATCCTGTCCCGCGATTCGAGCGCAGCTTGGGCAGCAGCCGAGAGGGTTGTGGGCACTCTCCGCCACAACACACACTACTACTTCATGTCCTGTAATAAAGCATATCCTGGTCAAAAGGGTATGACACCTAGTCAGCAGTACACCATCGATCAGACGGGCTGTCTTCACGTGGGTCTCATTGTTGGGAAGACCGCCTTTCGCCAGAACAAGTTTACTGCAAGCTACTTGCACGTAAGGCGCCTGGCAGATAACCCCAACACCTGGACTCAGACACGCCATGACTGGGATGAAGTCAAGCGTATGCAACGGTACGTCATCTATCGGTTATATATCACTAATGCGCGTTGTCGGAAAAGGACTAACCCTATACTATCCAGGATTGATTATGGAGGTACCACAACCTCTTCCAAAGCCAACATTGATAGAGTCATTCGAAAAGGCATGTTGACGTCTTACGATGGATGAACTATACTAACTACCTCTGTAGGCGAAGAATGGATCACGCTCTCCAAGGGTCAATACAACAAGGAATGGAACTGCCTTGGGTACTACCGTTTCATGGCTTCTAAACTGTGAAAAGGAAAAGGAAATGGCCCACGAACGCAATAGCACCTGTCAACCTAACAATTTTCAAGGCTAGCCACGAATTCAACAGGAAAAACACGAGCGCGATAGAAACAGTTAAGATATCAAGTTTCGAAGCTATAATAACTAGACCTGTTTCAGTGGTCTGGCCAGTTTCTACTAGGGCATCAGGCAAACCGAACGCGTTATGGACCTCCTATGCTCTAAGACTCTGATCAAATACCATCTCTGCCCCTGAATATTCAAGATTCAAATTACTAGATGTCTGTTCATGTTCTAATGTCTTCTGATCATTGTTCCCTTTTCACTAGTCTCTGTCGAAAGGTTCCAATGCCCCAACTGTTTCAAGTCGTCCGATCACCAGGTTTGTGAGCGTTTACAGAGGTTCCTAAAATGTCTTAGCACGTTTAAGTGTCATTGGTTCTGCTTTGTGAAAGGGCTGATGGAGGACTGCAGTGTCAGTAGTCTGTGATGTTTGGGTGGCGCTCAATTGCAGTATGTCTGTCGAGCGAGCACTTGCTTCTAGAGTATGGATTCGGTCTTGTCTAACCTGTTGTCCTCCACTTCCTGCTCATCTTTATGGGACGTTATGAGCTTTGATAGGGGTAAATGGGCAACGCAACGCCGGACTGACCGGTAGCCTTGTAGTGATGCTTGCTATGATCTAGACTTGGATGTTTTGCAAAACGCAATCTGGCTCTTGCAGACCTGTGGTAGCGGCGTGATACTTCGTCGACACTTTCTTAGGTAACTTGCCCTCATTCCCTTTCATGGGTACAACTGGGTTACGGCCCCGAAGAGAGCATTGGGATGTATGTTGAATGCCGGGAGTGAGATTACGCCTATTTCTATTACTTGAGATGCAAGAGATGGATGCTTCAATCGGTTGAATGTTATTTCCGATTGGATGGTTTCGTTCTCGCTCTTCTGCCCGGGCGCGCGGTAGCTGTCGGCCGAGCCCGCTATCCGGGTCCAGGGGCTGACCGGAATAGTTGGGACGGGGTAGATTGTGTCGGTCAAAAAATGAACTATGAACTCCAAGCACTCTAATTACGCCTTGGCAGTGGCAGAGCTAACGCTGCCTCGAATGTGTGTTCCTTACATGGCCACCATTGCCGAGGGGGTACTAACCGGGGCCACGGGCAGCTTCGGCAGCCCCGGCCACCAGAAGGAAGCGCCCCGTTAAGTGTTTAGCGAAGACAGCACCTAGTAGGATCGCGCTATCCGTATATACGATGGAAATCGCAGTGGGGGCGAAAGGGAGAGAAAAAAATACCAAAGAGGAAAAGAACACACACACACACACACACAC